AATTCTTGCTGAAAGCTTGCAGCTAAATTTATCTGTGCACATAAGTTAAACGATTAAGTAAGAGAATTCAAAAGTTCAGATATAGTGAATTATGATTATGACCTATTATCTACAGGGAGGGCAGCCAGCCAAGAAGTTTGTTCGGCTTAATGAGCGGAATAGTGCAATATTATGTCACTTATATAAAGAGCCCATAGCAACGAGCGCAACTACCAATCTTACAGGTTGGATCAAGTCCACAGGCCCTCACGATAATTAACAATGATGAACGACTACCACCTAATTTTGCTTCAGGAGTTCCACGAGGTCTAATAGCACCACTTCTCACAGGTGAATGTACAAAGTATAATCAGTAGCACCAGAGGTTGAACTTAGAACCTTATGATTCGCAGCCCGAAAAGCTAGCCACTGGTAAACAGCATGCATATAACTTAAACATTGGTTTGGTAAAATAAAACTGGAACTTAATTTGTTGTTTTATAATAATATCTGAAAATAATTTGTACAGCTGTTCTATACGTTTTATACAAAAGTTACGTACTCTGGTGCATAATACCGTAGTAATTCGGGATAGGTATAACACTCCAGTCGAGTCGCATGGCCATCTGAATGCATTTCTTTAAATATTAGAATAACCAAACTTCAAATGCAAATTAACAATGTGATCTAACTAAAATATATTTCAACATCCATTCTTGCCACGATCTCACAAGATGTTGAATTTCCATATCTTTTCAGATGAACTTTAAAACACACAGACACGATGAAAACATCTTAAAATGAAGCTATATTAATACTGTTTGATTGTTTCGTAATCACATTAATCTACATAATGGCTATCATTGTATGGCCATTCCAATCTTGAGTCAGCTATTGGGTTACTTTTGTCTAATTAAATAATGAAAGTTGATCGTCGTTCTTACAACACACCCACTGTCCAAAAGCGTGAAACGACAATGAGTCGCAAATCATGTATTCTCGAATTCACAGTCTAGACACTCATAACTATACACCTGGAAAAAAGTTAAGCACCCCCAAATATTTTTCAGGATTGCTTATTGAAAATAAGGTTTAATTTTCATGATGTTGAGCAATGTTCATAATTTCAAGCATAATTAAAAGGATGTGAGCGTTCAGGTGTGACATTTAAATCAGGCGCGTTTTTTTCCCCACGTGCAACTTGCTCCCTTCTTCACGT